AACAAGTCTCAAGAAAAATAAATGGCCGCCGATTTCTGATTCTAGTCAACATTCTGTGCTTAGAAAGACCTGATCAGAATCTAAAACAGTTTAAGAAAAATTGTATTCAATAAATTTTATTCTCAGTATACTGGCATTTAAATGTTCTGAAGTTTGCAAATATGCAAGCAACATTATCTCCATGAACCCATGTTAAAAATAAGAACTTAAGGACATTATCTAACCAAGCAAAAAGTAAAATAAATTAGTGTGAATAAAAAGTTCTTTGTTAAGAACTGCTGGGGAGTAGCAAAACCATTAAAGTGAAAAATCACTCAGAAATATTGGAATAATGTTTTCAGCATAGATTATAAGTAATAGAAAAATCAGTAAGATAAAACTGATGTATTTACATAGCCAAGATGAGTGTAATGTTTAATTTCCTTAATATTTTTACTTTGTTAAAATAGAGTTACTATATTACTTTGAAAGAGTCGATTTAAAAAATAAGTTCTGTATTTTATATTATGGTAGGAACTAATATATATTACTTTTATGTATGGACATACATGTCTATACATGTAAACAAATATGCACACACATATGTGCAGACATATGCATACACATACCAAGTTTCCATTTTGAAAAAAGGTAGAAACATTTAAATATTGAAGTCACAAAAAAAGAGATCCCAGATGGAGAGCTTGAAATCCTGTCCATAATCTGTTACCTGCTCCCTACACTAGTTTTTATCATATAGGGGAAAAATAGGACACGACTGTTTTCATATATTACTGCCTTTGCTCAATCTCTTCAAGATCTAGTTCAAAAATAAACTTTATGTCAGTGTTCATTCTACCATTTCTGACTTTATGCCTGTTAATTTTTTCATTCTATTAATTTGTCATGTATTCAAAAATGGAAATTTTAATGAAAAAATACTCTTTGAAAAAACTGAAATGCAAATTATGAGCCTCATATATTTGGATCAGTATTTTTTTTCTATTGATAATTCGAGGCAGGTGCCTCAAATGTAAAAAAACCAAAAAAAAAAAAAAAATTCTCCTAGAACTCCTAGAACTAATAAGTAAATTCAGCAAGTTCACAGGATATAAGATCAACATACAAAAATAAGTTGTATTTCTAACAAAACATATGCTGAACTTGCGTGCTGAAAACTACAAATTATCATTAAGGTAATTAAAGATAGTCTAAATAAAGAGAGATATAATATGTTCATGAATTGGAAGATACAACATAGTAAAGATACAATTCTTGCTGATGCAATGAAATGGGAGGAACCATCTCCCTGACTCACAAGGTCTGTTATTTAGCTATAGTAATGAAGACTGCGTGGCAGTGGCAGAGGGACGGACACACAGCTCACTGGAACAGAAGCGCACCCACATAGACATGCGCAACTTATTTTTGGCAAAGGATTTGCCTGACCGAGTCAGTGTCGGCGCCCTGGCTGTGACGCATACTGTTTGCAGGTTGTCGTCCTGTACCCTGGAGGGCACAGGGTAAATGATACATGGAATCTCTCTGTATTACTTCTTACAACTGCATGTGAGCCTAAATTATCTCGAATAAAAAGTTTACCTTAAAAAAGCCGATTCCCAATCTCCCTGCGGCGGCCCCACACTGCCCGGCTCCACCACGCGGGGAACGCGCCGAGAAGTGCCAGCAGCGCCCGTGCCCTCACTTCCACACGTCCCTCTCCCTCAACCTGCATTCTAGGGTTTTCTCCCACCACCGAAACTGCTCTTGCCACGCTTACCAACACCCTCCTGACCTCTCAGCAACCCCCTCCTGACCTCCTGACCAACACCCTCCTGACCTCTCAGCAACCCCCTCCTGACCTCCTGACCAACACCCTCCTGACCTCTCAGCAACCCCCTCCTGACCTTCTGACCAACACCCTCCTGACGTCTCAGCAACATCTGGCCTGGCTGTGCCCTTTCTTGAAAGCCTGGTCTCTCTGCCTGGCTCCTCCTTCCTACCCGGCTTCTGAACGGTGGAATTCCCACACCAGCCAAAGGCTGCCTCTCCCGTCATTTCAAACACCACCTGCAGCCTCAAATCCACAGCCTTGCTGTCCCCGCCGCACTCCGTAAACGTCCGGCTGTCTCCTCAGCATCTCCACTCGGATGAAATAGTGAACAGGCATCTAAACCTTCACCGACCCACAGCAGAGCTCGTGGGTCCAGCTCTGCTCTCCCCTGAAACAGAGCTCGGCCCCACCCTGCTCCCAGCCCGCCCCTTCTTCCCGAGGCCCTCGCGTCGCCTCCTTTGGGCATCTTTTTCTTGCACTGCCACCCCAGCAGTGAGCAGGTCCTGTCTGCATTCGTTTCAAAACAGAGCCTTTGCGCCTGTGTATCTGAACACCCTTTCCTCAAGTCTTTGGGTCAAGTACGTGCAAATACGCAAAATCAAACGTACATCGTCATGAACCAATACCGTGCACCTCCCAGTGTCTCTCTCTGAATATAGTAACGCCCCTGGATGAAAATTTGAATAAGTCCCATGACTTTCCTGATAACCACTGGGTACCAGAAAGTTCTACAATCACTTCAAGTAGCAAACAAGCCTCAATCCAGTAATTAAGTGTCCAGTGCCAGCCGGTAATAAAACTGTCGAACATACTTTACACTGGGAATAGCTGCCATCCCCGGCTGGCCTGCCTTCAGTGGGAGGGAGGCGTGGCCCTCTCTGCCCTCCATGCCTGGCATTGTTCCTTCCTCCTCAGCCGGCAGGCTGCTGGCCCCGATGCTAGCAACACTGGGAAAGGGAAGGGGGCACAGGCAAGTTCTTCCACGTGATGCCCTCCAGAGGTGAGGGCTCTCCAGCCCCGACAGGAATTTACAGCACACTCGTCCCCATGGCCCATCTGTGGGCTCCCCGAGACCCTGTGTGACTTCGCTTACTTTTCGGAATGCAAGCAAGCCGTTCTCCCCCTGCCCACCACCGCCAGATTTAGCAGCCTGCTCTGAACAGATGTTCCCTGTGAGACCCCATTATGCCCCTGGCAGATCCTAAAAGTGCCCCTGGCTGCCCATTCTCCCCAGCCACAGCTGGCCCCCCAAGAGGCTCTCCCTTGGCCCTGCTGCAGGGCAGCAATTCCTGCCCCTGCCACCCAGCAGCTGCCTGGGTCTCCACACCCAGGGAACACGTCTCAGCAGCCACAAAAGCCCCTCTCACTGGGTTGAAGGCAAGGGGCAGGCTCTCCCTCCAAAGAATCCTCTTCAAAACTCCTGTCTGCCCTCCAACAAACAGCCCTGTAACCCCTTGGTCTGGAGCATGGAACCCACCAGTTCCTGGCCACTTGCTCTGGTACCAGCCTCACGGCTCGCCAGCTTCCTGGTGCCTCGCCAAACCTCCGAGGCCCAGTCCTGCGGCACCTGCATACTGGGCTTCTGCACCTCACCAGGCCCTGTGTCCAGGCTCCTAACTTGCCCCTCCCTGCCTGTCATCCTCCTCATTTTCTTCATGGCACCCTGCATGGCTGAGCCCCTGCCCACCACCGAAAGGGCCCGGCACCAGCAGGTTCCCTCCCGACCAGTGCCTCCTGCCCAGCCCTCCACCCCCCGACAGGGCACAGACCCATGAGTCTGAGTCACCTGGGCTGCTGGCCAAGCCCCGGTGGACACTGAGGGCTGCACAGACCTGCCTGCGCAGCCATCACTGGGGTGGGGCCGGCAGGGATGCAGTCAGCCCAGAGCTATTTTTAGGGTCTGTCTTTGTGGAAATTGTTCCTTGATCGCTGTAGGGACACAGCCAAACTCCTCGCCACCGCCTTTGTCCCTCGTTCCCTCTACCAGACAGAGCCCTCCAGAGGGGCGCCGGCTCAGCAGACCCTGGGCGGCTTTCCTTAACCCCTCATCTGCCATCTGCCTGCCTGATGAACATTCACCGAACACTTGCTGGATGCCTGGCCCCGAGATCACCTGTGTCTCCGTGGGCTCACCTGGAGGCACAAAACAGAGGGTTCCACTTCGTCTCTTTCCTCCCATGCAGCACCATGACCCCAGCACGCAGCTGCCGGGGGCCTGGGGCCCAAAGCCCACCCTCAGTGTACAAGCAACATTTCAAAGAGAAGTACCTGTGCCCCAGGGTGCCCCACTCACAGCACCCAGGTAGAACAAACCCTCTAGCTGCACAGAACAGCAGTCCAACGGCTATCCTCCCAGCCAAACCTTCTAGGGTTCCTGGCTCACGTGCGCCTCCCAGGGCCCTGAAGGACCGAAGGACGTGGCCACCAAGAAGAGCCTCAGGTGAGGGGAGGCGGGAGTGAGAGGAATTCCAGGAACCCCACAGTGCCTTATTCTCAATTCCTGTCACAGGCACCAAAACCAGCCTGCCCTGTGTCACCGAGACAGGCTGACACCCTGACGGGAGTGAGAAGATCAAAGAGGAAACAGCAACAGACAGTCTCAGCAGGAAGGAAACAAATGTCCGAGACACAGGCTCCCGCCCCAGGCATCCCAGCACAATCAGAGCTGCTTCCCCAAGCCCTGGCTCATGCAGCCCTACCCTCACCCTGCTCCCCACTACCCCCACCAGGCAGCCTGGGTCCCCTCCCCTGGAAGAGACCAGCAGAGGGGGCACAGCTAAAAGCCAACAGCAAGTGGCCACCTGCCTCAGGGCCCAGGGCAACTTCTTCAGCTCCTGCCCCTGCCTCACCGGCTGCGCGTGGGGTCCCGGGGAGGACTGTGACTTAGCAGGGACAGGCCTGATGTGCAGCGAGCTCGCGCTGAGCTCAGTGCCACCACCCTCACCCTCGAGCTGGACCATTTCTGGAAGCGCCTTTGCTGGCCTCCACCCCTTGGCCATCAGCTTCACCTTCACAGGAGAAGCTGTCCTGGAGACTCCAGCATCCGGTCAAGAGTCTGAGCTGGGAATGACCGCCTGGACCCTCCGGTGGGAAGGAAGGAGGGAAGGGCCCTGCATTTCACCCAGGGCTGGGCAGAGGGCTTGGGTCAGAAGTGGGGCCAACCCGCAGGCCCAGGGGCGCTGCTCACACTGTAGAGAATGTCGGCCCAGCCCTCCATGGTGATGCACTGGAACACAGTCAGGATGGCAAACAGGATGTTGTCAAAGTTGGTGATGCCAAAGTTGGGTCCCGGCCAGTACTCCCGGCACTCGGTGCCATCCTCGCACAGCCGGGCTGGGGCCTCCTTGCCACAGGGGAAGTCACCCACTGGCTCTGCATCTGGGAGGAGAAGGAACACAGACCCTGAGCCCAGGAACACCAAGTTCTCCCATCCCCGCCCGGGCAACTGGGCCCCGGAGACCTCGCCACAGGTGGGCGGAATCAGCCACGGAGGGAAACCCTCCCTCAGCTGCCACCTCCCCTCCATGTACCTGTGCCAGCTCTCCCCACTCTACAATTCGCCCCATCTGATCTGCGTGCTCAGGAACTACCGGCCAACCTCTCCCCCTCCACTGGAACCCACCTGGCACCATTTAAACACACTCAGGACTCATTCACTCAAAATCAAAAACCACTCCTCACATCCGGTTCATCTGCTGTGACCAGCTGGGTCTCATCTCCCGCTCGCGGCTGAGCCGCCTCCAGGGTTCTCCAGGCACGCGGTCTGCCTGTCACTCAGCAGCCAGCACCAGACAGCCTGGCGCCCGGCAGGCCCGGGGCTCCCCAGCCCAGTCGGCTCAGAGCCACCCAGCACGTGCCCGGAGGACTGGGGGCCTCGCTGCACGGGCCTCTGCTCCTCGGCCACAGCCTAGCGAGCAGCCGGGCCCCACAGAGGGATGGCAGAGAAGCCAGGAGCCAGAGCTGACAGGCCTCTCGAGCACGACGGCTACCCTGACTCCCAAAGTCCTAGTGAAAGGGTGGAAAACTCTTCCAGAATGTGATTTCCTCCCTCCCCACCCTCGACAGAGTCTCTCCTCTCTCCCTGTCTCAACAGCACCGCCATGACCGCCAGCACAGTGAGGACTGGACGGGCCATCCTGGGCCTTCACTTTGCTCTTGACTTTGAAGAGAAGGCTTTCAAGACTTACAACGTTTGCAGGCATTTATGGAGTTTAAGAAAATTCCCTTTATTTCCAGTTGGGTACAAGGCATTTTTTGTCATGAGTGATTTAGATTTAAGTAAAAGCTTTCTCTGCATCTATTGTCTAGTATGTTTACGGCTCAAGCCGCAGGCCTGAGCTCAGCCCTGACTCTACTTTCTCTTACGCTCCACAACCAACCTCCCAAATATCCCCTTGGCCCAGCGGGCCTCACGGCAAGGCACACCCGACCCTGACCCGCGCTGGCCTCTCCCGGCTCAGCCGGACTGGCCGCCACCCCACCCCCTGGATCGGGAGGACCCCCCACTCAGCCCAGAGCGCCCACAACAGCCATGTTCCCGAAGCCTCTGCTGTCCCACTTCTCATTCCCGCCGTTTCCCCCGTAGCCGCGAAGCCCACGTGGTTCCCGTTCTCGGGCCCCTCACCCGGGCCCTGTGCGTGCACTGCCCCTTGTCTCCAGCCAGGTGGCCACTCTGTCCCTCCCACCACATCCGGACCACTGTCCAGCTGTCCCCTTGGCAGAGGGGCCTCACTCAGTGACGTGGGCTCCCAAATGCTTCTATTTCACCCTTTTACTTTCCTTCCTAGAAGTCACTACGCTCCCAATTATTTCACTGTGAGTATGCTTATGCATTCATGCCTACGGGGTTACTGCACCCCCAAGGGAGGCGTAGGGCCCCCTCTTTGTCCAGCACCGAGAGGCACCCCTATCCCCGAATGAAGCATCCATGGTCCCCCTCTGAGTCCGAGGGGTGCTGCCAGGCCTCACCTGTGCTGTTGGGGAAACAGGCCTTGTGGAATTTGCCCATGTAGAACTCCAGGCCGATGATGGCAAACATGAGGATGGCAAAGAAGAGCAGCAGCCCGATCTGCAGGAGCGGGGCCATGGCCTTCATGATGGACTTGAGCACCACCTGCAGGCCTGGGGTGGGGCAGGCGGGTCAGAGGGTGGCCTGGGGGGCTGAGAGCCCCCGAGCAGATCTGTGGACCTAGGGATGGGGCAGAGCCCTGACAGGGAAAGGCAGCAGATTCCGGATGCCAAGAGCAGGCGCATCTGGGAGGGAGGAGCAGGGGGTCCCTGCAGACGCGGTACCTCAGGGCAGGTGAAGCAGGACCCTGGGCAGAGGGGCTGAGCCCAAGACCCCACCTCCAGCCGGGCCCCAGCTCTTGGACACAGACCTGAGCCTCCACCCGGCAGGGTCTCAACTCAGAGCAGGGGCTTCAGGGTCACATCCCCAGGCTTCTGCCCACCCAGGCCCTGAGGAAAGCCCAACACCAAACTTCCACTGGACTGGAGGGGCAGGGCCGGGGGTCACGGGCTCACAAGGTCAGCCGGCCATCCTCCCCCATGCTTGGGTCCTTGAGCAGCCCACCGAGGGGCGTGTCTTTGCCCAGCCTCATTTCCCAAGGGCCTGCACTGTCCGGAACCAAGACAGGTGGTCCTCGGCAGCCTGTGGACATCTTCGCAGGCGTCCTGCCCCCCCCTTCGCCCCAGCCTCAGTCAGCCTCTCGTCTGTGCTCTGAGCCCAGAGCAGCGGCGCCGGGAATGCTTGAGGCTGTGACGAGCTGCACAGCCTGCATCTAGGGAAGCATGTCAGGGGGAACAGCAGCATCGCCGCTGGGCTCTCACAGAGACAGGGCAGCCAGGGAGGCCTGCCCCTCCCTTCTTGGCGCCTGGGTGTCTGGGGTCAGGGGCAGCAAGCTCGGGGCACCACGGCCAGAGGGCCCACTGGCTGGGGCTTAGCGTGGCCGTGGGGCCAGGGGGTCAGCACTCCAGGTGGGCTCGGGCCCATGGCTCCTGCCACACTCACTCGGAATCCCGGACACCAGCTTCAGGGGCCTCAGCACGCGCACAGCCCGCAGCGTCCGCAGGTCGAAGTCGGTGCCCGCAGTGGCGAGGATCCTGTGGGGGCAGAAGAGGGAGCAGGGTCTCCTCTGCGAGGGGGCGGCACACCCCTCCCTCCGCCGGCACGCTCTCTCCCAGAGCAGTGGCGCCCTGTGCTGTCCCCGCTGCCCCAGCTCAGGGCCGGCACAGGCGGGGAGGCAGGGGCTGAGCTCAGGGTCCTCCCCAGGATGCCGGCCGTGGGGTTCCCCAGCACGGCCACCCTCCGGTCCCGGGGCATTGCCTCTGAGAGGACACCTGGCCTCTGGCCGCCACCCAGCCTTGTCTGTCCAGAAGATGAGCCCAAGCTGAACCATGTCACTGAACAGCCCCAGGTGCACTCCAAGCTGCCTCAGGAGGCACGGTGTGTGCGGGCGCAGGAGGGAAACAGGGCTGGTGGGGCCAGAACAGGCACCAGGTCCTGCCCTTCCTCGCCTTATCTCAGGGGCACATGGGCGTGAGGCACAGGGCAGGTAGAACAGAGGGTCCACAGGGCTCAGGAGGACCATGGCCATCGGTCCACTCGCACAGAATACACTCCAACGCCACCGCAACATTCAAAGACAAAACAAAGGTCTGCCAGCCTCTTAGCACACGGCACGATGCCCGGCTCTCTTCACACCGAACACATCTGAGGTGTCCCTCCCGGTCTCCCCACTGCCCAGTCCCCAGCCCTCTCTAGCTTCGTCCAACTAGCCTGTCACCCCCACAGCCCCACCGAGATGCTGCATCAAGGATTCTTTGAGACAATTCCAAGGTTAGGTCTCTAAAGATCCCTTCTTTGGTCCTTTAGGCCCCTCCCCAATCCCCAGGAGCTCTCCAGGTCCTGCCTGCCACCTTTGCCTTGTCTACCAGACTCAAAAATGGGGTGCCCTAGCCCCTCCCCACAGGGGCTCCCATAGCTTTGAATAGTAGTGTGTGCTTATTACCCTAAACTTACAGCTTTAACTCAAATCTGGGACTTTGGGTTCATAAGTCCAACTGCCTTTTTAACATTTCCATTTGGGTATTCAAAAAAGAATATGAAACATAAAAGTAGAAGACTCTTTTTTGTAATTCTTCGGTGTAAGTGTTAAAACTGACTTTTTAAAAGAAGCTCAGAGTGACGGGAAATGAAAGGACGCCATGGTGAGCAAGGGCTTTGGCTTATTCCCAGTCTTTTTCCTTTCTCAGCAGTTCCCCTGCTCAGTGGAAAGTGCTGGTCAGCTGGTACCTAAGCCGAAGCCGAGGCTTGTCCGACGCCTCTTACACTCCACATCCAGGTCGCCAGCGGTCCTGCTGGCTCCACTTTCAGAATGTATCCTGCACTCGTGGTGAGGAAGGTTTTGTGCCCCCTGCTCTAAATATAGAGCAGTGAGGAATAAAATTTGAGATGGAGGTGGGGTCAAAAACAAATAAAACTCCAGGGTAAAAGAGAAGAAGGGCAGTAAGGGTACCTCCTGCTCACATGAGGAGATCCAATGCTAAGAGAGACGCTCAACAACTAGTAGGAGGTTAATTTTGTTCAGATGAGATCAACAAATTAAGAAAAAAAACCAGGCAGAAACAGGTAGATTTTTTAAAGCTAGCTAGAAGTCTTGGCAATAAATGGCTATTGAAATAATATCAATAAGGAATCATACTACAGGCTGGAGACATGGGTTAAGACTATTAACGGTTTGGAGAAGAGGACTGAGGAACCCACCCACAGACACCAGGAAGCCGAAAGCAAAAAATGAGAGAAGTTAGACAATATGAAGATTAAGTCAGATATCCAACAATCATATGTGAGCTCCAGAGGAGGGGGACAGAGGGCAAAGGAGGCGGCAGCATCTGGTGGCACAGCAGCTAAGAGATCTTCAGAATTAAAGACCTGAGGCTTCAAATCTAAAGCGCAGTGCCGATCAGATGAAATATGTCCAATTACAGACAGTGTGAGGGACTGCAGAATATCAGCATTAAAAAGTCTTAAGTGTTTCCAGAAAGAAGACACAAAATACCTAGGGGAAAAAAAAGGGTAATTAAAAGAAGAGAAAACTTCACCTCAGCAAAAACATGCACTGTAAGATAATTAAATAATACCTTCAAAAAGCAGCAGGAAAGTAAGTGTCACCTTAGGACTTTTTCCAGCTAAACTGTCCATGGAGAGTGAGGACAATAAACGTATTTTCAGGTATAAAATAAGCCATCGCCCCGGTTCCCCAGTAAAATGCTACGGAGTGAACCCGAAGGGGATGCACAGTACACAAGAATATGGTGGGCACAGAAAGTTACATTTAGTCAGGCTGGTTTTAATGGTACCTAACTCTTCATTATTTTTTGCATTTACTTTCTACATGTAACACTAACAATCTGGGCAATAGTAAAGGTATTTACAGAGGCGGGTGTCCCATGTGTAGCTGCTCACATGACGGGCTTGCTCACTCTTCACGGTGTCAGACCAGCGATGGCAAATACCCATAAAGGGCCAGTGGCTGAACATTTAGGGTCGTGAGGTCTCTGTCACAGCCACTCAGCTCTGCCACCGTGGCATGAAAGGGGCCACAGACAATGTGCAAATGAACAGATAAGGCTGTGTTCCAATAAAACTTTATTTATAAACACAGTTGCCCATCAGATGGCCAGTAGTTTGCAGACCTCTGTGAGAGAGTGTGTAGTTACAAATACACGTTTGAAATGCTAAGGACTTCAGGTAAATGGACAGAAAATACAATCTATTCCAAAACCAGCAGATGGGAAAAAGGTGTGTGGGTGACAAGTTACAGAGGACCTGTTGTCAAGCTAGAGTGGTTGGAAAAAAGATCCCCCAAAATGCCAAAGACAGGACATAAAGCGAAAATACAAACTAAGATATTAGATTTAGGTCCAAATATATGTGATCACAGGAAAAATAAATTGAATTTTAGTTTCCTATAAAAGCTTAGATTATTAGATTGGGTTTTTTTTTTTAAGTCAAACTGTATGTTACTTTTAAAAAAATCTGAAAAAATACAGAAATCTTGAAAATAACAGAGTTTTTAAAGGATATACTAAATGAAAATTATTAAAAAGTTGGTGTAATACTACTAAGGACAAAACATAATTTAAGGCAAAAAGCAATACTAGGGCTAAAGAGAGAATAATGAATAATATTAAAAGGAAAATTTCACCAAGAAGTACAATAATCATTCATTTTTATGCACCCAACCTCATAAACTCAAAGCAGAAGAAGAAAAAAAAAATTTTAATTCTCTACCACAGAAGATTCTAACAAAGCCCTTATCAGAAGCTGAAAGACAGAACACTAAAATTTAGTAAGGCTAGCCAAAGGTAAAAATTATCAGCCTTGACCTATATAACTCTAATTTTCTGTATCTTCATCTTATATTTACCTATCAAAATCTGCTCTTAACAAATAGAGAATATACATTTTTGAACACACAACAATATCCTTGAAAATTGCTAATAGCCTACATCACAAAAGAAGCCTCATCAAATTTCCAAGAATTAGTAAAAAGTATCACTGCACTCCTATATTTAAATTAATGTAATTAAATGAAGATACAACCATAAAAACACATTTTAAAAGAAAACTCACGTGTATGGCAACCCTCAAAATGCACAACTAAACAACCCTTAAAGAAGTAAAAATAGAAATTACCAAATATTGAAAATTCATCAAATGAAAATACTACATATCAAAATGTGTGGGATTCAGTTAAAGTGATGCTTTAGGGGAATTTGTAGACTTAAATGATTCTGTGTTTAAAAGATTAAAAATAAGTAAACCAAGCATTGATATGTCCCAAGAATCTTACAAAAGAGCGTCAGAGAAATTTAGAGAAAGTAGAAAAGCGGAACTAACAAGAATAGGCATGGTTAAAGTAGAAAAAAAAGAGAAATAATAGAAAACTAAATATTTGAAAGTTTAATAAAACAAACAAACTTATGGCAAGAAAAATCAAGAAAAAGAGTATACACATACAGACATACATACACGCACACAGAGATACACTCATATAGTATGTGCATACATGCACTGACATATACTCACACGTATGTGTATGCCTTCGTGTACACACATGTGTGCACCTAAACATACACACACACCAGGAACGTGATTCCAACACAGGAGAGGTTTTTAGAACCACAAGAGAATATTATTAACAATTTTATGCCAATAAATGTTAAAGCTTTGATGAAATGGATATATCTCCTCAAAGTGCAAGTTACCAAAAGTGGCTGGAGCAGAAAACCTGAATAAACCATGAACTATTGTTTTCGTTTTCTATTACTGTATAAAATTTTACCACAAATTTAGTGACTTGAAAGCGCACCCATTTATTAGCTCACAGTCCTGTAGGTCTGAAGTCAGGGCGTATCATGGCGAGGTTCTCTACATAGGGTGTCACTGGCTAAAATCGAGGTATCAGTCAGCTGCCTCCTCGTGGGCAGGCCAAACCAGGGAAAGTGATGCCTCCCAGCACCGTCAGCTAGTCTGCAGAAACGATCTCCCTGCAGTGGGAACGGAGCCCTGTCGCCCTGCTGCCAGCTGGGGACTTCTCTGGGCTCCTAGAAGCCTCTCTCAGGTCCTCACCACCTGGCCCCTCAACAGTTCCTCTCATGGTACCAAACTCTCTGACTTGAGAAAGGGCTCAGTCCCTCTAAACGGGTCACCTGATTAGGTCAGTCCTTTCTAGTTAACTCTAAGCTAGTAAACTAACCCTAAGCGTCTCATCATATGCACAGGTTCTTCCTACACCCCAAGGGTGATGACCAGACAGGCATGCAGGCAGGTGGCAGGAATCCTGGGGGTCACCTTAGAAGTCTGCCTACTAAACCTACTTATAAAAAGGAATCTGGATTCAGGTTTCCCCTGCAAGAACATGAGACCCAGACAATTTTACAAGTGAGTCTACAAACATTCAGAGAACAGGTTAATTCCTATGTCATACAAATTGTTCCAGAGAAGAAAAGTACAAGAAAATCTCCCCTACTCATATTATGCTACTAGTATAATGTTGATACCAAAACTGGAAAAGAATGAGAAGATTTGTGCCCAA